ATCCAAGCGATCCTAACTCGATGAAGTTACCCTTCGATCCGTACGTTTATCGTCGTTACGAGGACGGCAACACTTATGTTTTCTATCCGGTTTACAATCAGAATTACATGTCATGCGATAGTTTCGATCAAGTGAATAATATTTATCCGCAATACGTGGCACATTGTCAAGCTCCGATTCAACAGGTGAATGTTAAAGAATCGATCAACAACACCGTAGAACCAAATTTGATAAATGAAGAAAATCTGATTACAACGTCAAATGATAATAATGTTTTTAAGGAAGATCATTGGAGAAAAATGAATGATGTTTCGAAGGTACCGATTAATGAAAAAACTAACGATCGTCTTACTACGACTCTGAATATTGTTGAGGAGGAAAAAGAACGAACCATTTCAAAAATTGATCCTGGACACTTTGATAAAACAAAAATCACTGTGCCTAATTACACTTACGTCGACTGCAATGATTCTAGTGAATCAGATTCGGAGAGTTCATCTTCTTCTTCTTCTTCTTCTTCATCTAGCAAGTTGACCAAGAGCAGGAACAACGATACCACTACGAACGACACGATATCTGAAAGTGATTCGGATTCTTATTTAGCTTACTCGACGGGTTTAAATCCACATGGAAAGTCTGAAGGGACTGATCAATGCGATGATAAGATCGATGACAAGAAACCCGCTGAAATTGTTAATGAACCCTATTTGGAGAACACCATTTCCAGCTGTGATTCGCAAAACGAGGATGACGAGGAAGAGGAAGAAGAATATCGCGTTGAATCTTTGAAAAGTGACCCAGTTTTACCAGCTCATCGGTTAAGTGTTATTTACGAAGACACCGAGCACGTAGAAGTTGAGATTCCTTATCCAAGAAAAAACAAGGACACCAAAAAGTGGAACAGCGTGACCCCTTGCGATGATCCACCCGACGAAGTGGACACCACCGTCAGCGTCAGTTTACCATTGAGATTTAAATTCTCTGTTTCTGAAAACAACGAAGATGTTACCACGGTAATCGTTGGTGATAGTCAAATAAAATCGGAAAAAACACGAGCTTCCGAAAAAAATCATCGGATTGTGGAAGAAGAAACTACAGTTGATTTTACATTGAAGAGACCAGGTACAAAAGTTAGATCGATGGAAGAAAAAAATATTGAAACGATCGACGAAACTGACGACACTGCCCACGTTAACTTTACCCTAAGAAAAGTTCCTACGAAAGTTAACAGAGTTAATTGCGAAGAATCCGTCGAAACAGAATTTACGGTTAGATCGAAGAAAGTTGACGTTACCAGTCACGTTAGAAAGGATAAGAGAAAACTGGATGGTGAAAGGCAAAGAGAGAAAATTCTTCGAAATAATCAGGATCGATTTAGTTTCTTGTCAATAGAGAAAAACGATCTAATCGATTCGACAAACGAAAAAATAGAACCAGAAATCGTAGTGTCCGAATGTAATTGGAACGAGGATAAAGAAAATTCGCGAAATTTAACAACAACAGCATTAACAAAACTCGATGATCCAATCGATGATTCGGAAAGAAATCCAATAAAAGAATCCAATCAACAAGACGACGAAAGTTTCGTCGAATTGGAAGTGGAACAAAGTAGTAAAGAAAGGAAACATTTGTTGAGCGTACAAAATTCACGGGAAGAAACCGACGACGAGGACAGCGGTGTAACATCGGACATGAGTCGAATGATATCCGAAGTTGACACAGATTCCGAGTGTACATCGACGAAGAATTTAAGAAAATATCAAAGGACTCAAACCCATTCGCGTCTTTTCAGGCTATTAAACGATGACTCTATCTTAGCAGAGGATACAACGGAGATGACTGATGGAGGATTAGGTTCATCGCTGAAACGAGAATATCTGAGTCTACCATTGAAGACACACGCGTTCAATTACGACGAGAACAATTATTGTTCTAATTATTCGAGTGGGTTAACGTCGCCAGAATATTCGCCGATTTGCGAACAATCTTGGAAAAAATCGCACGAATCCGAATTGAACGTCAATCGGCAATTGAATAATCAACAACATCGTCTTGAGAGAAGCATTTCCAAGGAGGACCCCTATTACCAAGCATGGAAAAGTCCGAAATCGAATAACGCGAACGAACGTGATCAAAATCACGACGTTTTACCATCGATCGCTTTCAAAATCCTCGAAAGCAAAATTCCTTATTGGAATTACAAGGTCAATGTTCTCTGTCCACGTATCAAAAGCACCAAAAACGTACCCCAAACTTTACAAGGATGCAAGACGAACGGATCGAGTGGACCATCGGTTGTTAGATCTTCACCAACGACAACCCTTCCCCTATCCTACGTCGATAACGACCATTGCTGATGGCCCGGGGCAGAGTGAGGCCCGTGTTTGGCCGCAAACAACCGGTCCACGGAACGAGCTTCGCGCAACTTTTCTCGAAATTCGCAACGACTGGGCGACTAATGCCCGGGGAGCTACAGGCTACGTGATTTTTTTTCTATCGGTACATATAGTTTCTCGTATACTCGTCTTTTTTTTATCTTTTATCTATCTATCTATCTATCTATCTATTTATCTTTCTATCATTTTCTTTCCTTTTCCAAATTGTACATTTATCCATTAGGTTAATTATCCTGATGGTCAGTTAATGTGGTCATTTGTTTAATTTTCAATTAAATGCCCAACTGATTAGACCAATGACTCTATACAGTTTTTTTTTCAAATGCTATTTACTTACAATTAGAAGAACAAAAAATTGCACGGACTTATTGGCCTTCATAATATCTTTTTATTCTTCTATCATTCGTTCCTTTCTTCCTATTCCTATTTTTCTTTATCTTTCATCTTTTGATCAGCCTGTTTTTTGTATTTTTTCTTTTTTGTGCTCTGCAACTCATACGCGCGACACGCGTTTAATAAAAACAATATGATCAAGATTATATTTTTTGTTTCTATTTAATCTAGACAATAAAAACGTAACCGGTTATCAAAAAAAAATATATGCTAGCATCGCTTAATTCTCGTATCTCGTTTTAGAATACAAAAAAAAAGATATATTTATCTATTTATTGCAGTAATCGCATAACGCAAAACTGTCCATACGATTATTTTCTAGTTTTCATTCTAAAACCTGTATCGTTTCTAACGGGTTACATTCAATCGTTATAGTCTACATTATTTTTTGGGAAGAAATACAAAAAATATGTGTGTGCGCGTGCGTGTGCGTGTGTGTGTCTGCGTATATATGAAAATCGTGAAAAAATATCAAATCTAGTTTGGACAAACGGGTTTCAGAGAACGGTGTCATTACCATAACTAGTTTGCTAAATATTTTTGGTTGACACATGCATGCAATCTCGTAACTGTCTCTAACGCAAATGACAATTTCTGTAATCTCTTACTGCTTCGATTAATTTTTTTTTCTTTAAATTTCAATGACAGTAAAATAATATTAAATATATTAGGTTGCTCGGAAAGTAATTTCATTTTTGTCATAATAAATAAAAGACGATTGTTTCATGTTTAGAATCCAAGATATTTTAAATAATCTTGAAACTTAGAACAATGAGAAAGCAAAATATGACGAAAATGCAAACCTTTATTTTCCATTTCTGATGCGATGCCAACACTAAATCACGTCTGAAATATCTGTTGCTAGAACGTAAAATAATTTTGGAATTTAAAATAAGATTGGGTATCGGTAAACACGCGACTAATGAAATTATTTTCCGAACAATTTAATATATTATTTATTGCATGTAGAGTATTTGTTTACTAAGCGAATAAGTTTGACTAACTATCGCACCAGTTCCATTCGTAGAAAACTATTGTTCGTTTAACTTTTAAAAAATGAAATTTGTGATCGAGGACCAAGAGGATGCTGACGAGTCGTTAATAAAAAAAAATATAAAAGATAAATATTCAAAAATTAAATAAAAGAGAACAGAAAAGAAAAATACAATGAAATAAATAATATTGTATCGAAGTATATAAGGTAATAATTAATATAAAAATCAATTCAATACTATAAATACCTATGAGGAATCTGGAAATGGATAATAAATGGTATGAATTCAATTTGATTAGCATTGCACGTTGTTTCGATTTGCTCGTTTTGAGATACTTGATGTATTATTGTTGTATCAAAAAAATACTATTATTGAATTTAAAATGCAATCTAAATAATTTTCATTACAGATATGTCCGATGATTAATATTTGTCTTTGATTTTACAGGACCCGATGCAACCGATTACTGAACGCAGATCGGGCTGCACGATTCTTAGGAAAGCTGCTGCGTTATTAGTGTGTTTTTATTTTGTCACTTAATTATTATTATTATAAATTCATTTTTTTTGTCTTTTTTTATTATTATTATTATTATTATCATCATTATCTTCTTCTTTACATATTAATATAATCTTATGTATCGTGCGTATCGATATAAATCTATCGATAACGTCGTTTTTTCCTTTCTCCTTTCTTTTTGGAAGAAAACCTAAACACGTAACCCACGTTCCATTTATTTTTTCTTCCTTTCGTATTTCCTCCCGCCTGGTAGATTCGTTATCAAATCATCATCCCACGATATGTGTGTCGAACAAAAAAAACCAACAAACGACTATAAAATTAGAAGCTGCACATAAATGTTTAGTTTTATTGTATTTACTAATTGCGTCGATTAATTTGTTTAAAAAAGAAATGATTATTGTTATTTAAAACGAACGGAGAAAAAACTCACGATAGACTCTAATCGTCTTTTACGATTGATAACAAAACAAAAAAAAACGTAATAATAATAATAATTAATATTTAAAAAAATTATAATAAAGAAATAAAATATTACAAAAAAAGAATAAAACTACAAAACTAGAACAGAAACAAATGTACTTACTACACAAATTCGTATTAGATGAGAAAGTATACGTTGGTAATACGATTACCTCACAAACACTGTCATTATGTTACATTTAAAATGTAAGTCGTGTAAAATAAATTATTTATCAAGAAAATCTATCATTGTACCCCGAAACCCGAATAAATGTTCTAATCAAATTACGTTCACAAAGTAATGTACGTTCGTTTACGATGCATAATGTAAGCTATGCAAGTCCAGAGTACAATACCCCAAATAGCTTCTACCAATACTAAAGTACGACTATGCATGTTACCGATACGCCAATGGAATGGAAAGATTTGATAACACAATTCATGACCGATGTACATTAACAGAGCGTTCATTCCTAAAAATTAAAAAAAAAGAACTGAGAAAAGTTTCAATTAAAAAAGAAAAATATTTGTTTAATTAAATTAGTGTTGAATTAGTTACCAGGTATTCGAAAAGGACCACCTCTCCATATTCTAGCAACATCGACGAGCAAGTAACAAGCTGATAAGAGTCCAAGCGCAAAAGCTGTTGTTACCAGTGCAAAAGATAGCGACCATAAATTTTTATTTACGGGTATGACGTAAACGTGCGCGAGAAATCCTACGATAGCTAAAAATACCGCCCATAAGAGCCATCTTATAACCCTGTCCTTCCAATCTTTATAGCACAATAAAATTTGTCCTGCCTGGACACCCAGAAATACTTGAAATATCGTTGTCAAACAACCTAAAATAATCAACCGAAAGGTTTACGAATTATTTTTTTATTTTATTTCCTTTTTTATTTACCTAAAATACCCTCAGGATCGAAAGGTTTAGATCCATAAACCGAAACTATCATCAAGTTTTGGTATATGTGTTTAGGTGTTAGAATTAAGTCGTCTATATATCCAGCAGCACCACCTGTACAATTCATATACTTTCCATCTTCGTGACGTCCACCAGGGCCAAGATAACCACTGCGATAACGTTACTTATTTAATTTTTTGACAATAATGTCTAGTAAATCTTAAGTATACGTACATACGTGGGACATCCTGGTACTGAAAGTTTGAATGTTAACAAGCAGTGTACTACGACGATACCTACTACCATGATCCATTGTGGTAACAACATAGATACATCTCTTAATCGTTGATGCAACAAATTCTGAAATATAAATAATCTTACATATTATTCCTATATTTTTTATGTATATTAATTTATTAAATATATTATAATAAACTCGCCTGAATTTTTTTAGGCTTTCTAGGTGTTAAAAATAGAAACATCGAAGCAACGATTAAATAAGCTAAACCAAATCTTTGCAATACACCAAATATTCGAATATTTTCTAACTGTGATACACTGTCTACTGTGTTTAATGCAACACCAATAAAAAATAGCATCACGCTTCTCTGTTAAAAACAAAACACAAATATAAAATTATTATTTGTATTAAATTAAATGTTCTCTCTCTCTCTCTCTCTCTCTCTCTCTCTCTCTCTCTCTCTCTCTCTCTCTCTCTCTCTCTCTCTCTCTCTCTCTCTCTCTCTCTCTGATCACTTACCTTCAAAATGTTTAAAGAAATTTCTATTTTCGAAATACCGCGTGATAATTGCGAGGATATGGCTATAGGAATACAAACTCCCATAATCCACATGAAACATGGAAAAACCAAGTCTCCTATTAATAAACCATTCCAAGTTGCATGCTGAAGTAGATAATATCCTCCAGCACCGTTATTAACGAAGATCATAAATAATATGCTGATTCTATGATAGTCGAATAACAATTAATTTCTTTTAAAAATCTTCTTTTTTTTTGTTTTTTTAAATATCTTGAATAATTACCCTCTAAAGGTGTCGATAGATTTCACTCTACGTTTTTTTGCAGCATCGTTGGTGGTCTGATTATCGGTTCGTTTCATACACTTTTCTTGGATCAATTGCCATATTTGTCTCGACATAGAAATTCCAATTAGAAAGCATACTATTATACCAAAAACAATGAGGAGAGCTATGCGAAAGAGAAATTGTATATTATTTTCAGAAATAAAAATATTTCTAAACAAATTTTAATTGTTTACTCACTGATGTAAGAATTGGTTGGTCGTATAACGGTGTTAAAAAAACAACTATCATTTCGAAGTAATAATTCGTAACTTCCATATTCTCCTAAATTCGGTGAAAGTTTGCATATCGCATTACTAAAAAATTGTTTTAAATAAAAAATAAAACATTTAGGTATACCTCGTGAGATCTATGTTTGTAAGATTTAGAAATATATGAATAAATAATACCTGATATTTTTTTCAGATATATATTCGTTAAAACCATCGACGTTCAGTACTGCCAATTTCATAGATCTAGCAGTATTAAATTTTATACTATAATTCACGGTTGAAATTGGAGATACTCGACTGTAAGGACACTACAAATAGAAAGAGAACTTAATATAAAATAACATATTTTAAATGAAACGAATTAAACAAATTAAAAAAATAAATAAATAAAATTTTAGATAATAATTTGAAAATAATGATACGTCCGTGTTGAATATATCGATAATGATTATTTAAATAAAAGAAAACCTACGGAAACGCAATCAGATGAAAGTGCATAAAGCCATGCATTAGATCCATCTTTATTTTTTAATTTAACACAAGCCTCGTCGTACTTTAACTCGTTGTGAAAACACGACTGTTCAAACATTCTCCCCTTTCTATTTTTTATTTGATATTACAGCTGAAAATAAAAATTCATTCGTGTAATTCCATAAAAATCCTTATATAGATATGTATACTTATGTATACGAATACAAACACAAACACAGACACATATACATAATACGAGTCTCTGCTGAACAGTTACAGAGAAAGTGGAACAGAACGTAACAATTTTTTTATTGAGTTTTATCGCTGAGATAAACAGATGTACGTAAGTACAATTAATTGAATCATAGCTGATCGATTGTTAAATAATCAGATATTAAATAGAAAATCTGTGTGTATACTACTATATTTAGTTTAGTATTACTACACATCTGTCACCTTAGTATTATCGATGAATTAAAAAAAATTTCATTTGAAACGATTATTATGTTTAATAAATTATTTTAATTAAAAATAAATCCTTGATCTTGGTAATGCAGCATCCGTTCTTATTTAAGTAAACTATATCACCAAGTATATCTTCTTAACTGTTTCAAGTTATCCGGCTTTTCCTGAATAAGTAGAAAACGTACATTCTGATACAAACAAACACACTGTAAACGTGAAAGTAAGTACTCGCGTAACCCAGATTTATAAATCTGCTTAAAAGATATGCATATTATTACTACGATGTGCATCCTAATTAAATCATTTAATTCTTTTTGCTTGATTAAATACAATAAGACAAATAAATGCACAACAATTTTCTATATAAAAAAAAATAAATTTAAAATATATTTAAGTTTTTTAAAATAAATTTGCTCAAGTCTCACAGTAACTAAACAAAAGTTTCTATAAATTGGTTTATTATTACTCCAATGAATCCTGATTAATTCGTTTAATTCTTTTTGCTCGATTAAATAAAATTAGACAAATGCACAAGAATTATTAAAATCTTAGTAATTAAAAGCTGCTTTGATTGATTTTATTAATAAATATAACTAAAACGATTATCGTAACACGATTATGATTTATCGTATAAGATAATTTATTAAATGTCCGATTTATTTGAAACGTATGATAAGATATTGTCTCATCGATATGATTTTTTTATATTGTAGAAATAAAATAATAAATAATTCTTTCGCGTATGGTTATGATAAATACAATTAATCAAAAATATTATTTCATTCATATATATTATTATATTAATATCTGTTTAATTTTACATTTGTTATAATAAAATAAAATATAAAGAAACACAATGGTATGATTAAAAGTAACTTACCCCTTTTGAAATATTGTGTACATTAAAATAACAATTGTTTGTTAGTAAAACCGATTGTTTACTCTTCTCAATTAATCGATCATAATTTTTAATACTTTCACTATGAATCAAGATTTTTACGAATTAATTTTTATGTACAAATAAGTTGACAAAAAAATGTAAATAAATGTATGTTGTGTATGTGTATGGTTTTTTCTTTTTTTTCGAGATAACTTTATACTCAAATATTTACGATTGAAATATTGTCACATTTCACGAGAATACGATCTGATTCGTTGAGAGTAACTTAAGCGACTGAACGACTTTAGAATATTGGAATGCGTGGCTGAAGTTTCACGAATCACAGGAGCGCCACTCGGTCGTGCGAATATTCTTGTTGACCTTTTCGTTGGCATTTAGTATTAGAATTTTTTTATTTTCTTTTTCTTTCTAATAAGAATATAAGTACTTTTACGTCGAATAAAAGAATTTTTTTTTTTTTTTATACATATACAATTGTTTAATTTTTAAAAATATCTATTTAGAAAATGAAATACCGTCTATTATGCTATACTATTTTATACTATACTATAATACCTAAATTATACAAACGTGGACATTGAATATGTGTGTCAAAGGGAAAGGAGGATTAACAAATTACATTTGAAATATTGCATTAGATGATGATCTATTTCGTTATTGATGGAACTTATTTTGATGTGTTCACGTGTGTGTGTTTATATATATATATATATATATATGTGTGTGTATATAACATCTTTACAGACAACTGTGAAGATGAAAAAAAAGATTATTATCTCTGATTATTTGAAATATATTATAATTTAGTATTAAAACAATCTCTCTTACCTCTCTTATAATGAAACGAAACCTGTTCTTTCTCATACGTATCATTATATTATTTTTATTATTATTATTACTATTATTATTCAATTAATTAATAGCACAAAAATCAAT